TATATATATATATATATATATATACGCCCGGAATTCTGTGCCTCGATGTTTGTTCACGCGATCGTTGTCTCCGTTTCTTCTTTATCTTCTCGGCCTCGAAACACCATCGTCCGTCCCGCTTGTGTGTTTCGCTTTTCAATGAGAAAAATTAGGCCGCCACGCACGCTCTTCGCCTTTGGAACCATCTCGAGAAGATAAGGCTCGTTGAAGGGAATTTCGAGCTCGTGGTATACACAAAACGTGTTTTAGTTGACGCGATATAGTTGTATCCCTGATAGTCGAATAGAGAAATTTTGGCATCGGGGAATGGGAAAATATGGAACTTTTTTGTTATTTTTCTTTTTTTTTTTAAATTGAAATGCGATTATCAGAAACTACGAGCAACGAAGATACGTATTATCTTTAATGAAAAATTTCAAAGTTAAAAAGTTGTGGAGTAGAAGAAATTTTGTTGTGTATTCGATTGGCCATTGAAGCAGGTATTACACTTTTTTTGGAAAAATATTAATTGAAGAACACGATTCAAAATTATTATCGTTGTACTACTCGAAGATAAAATAAATAAAACTTATAATTTTTTCTTCCTGTATTAGGTATACCTTTTGTGCCAAAACTGAAGAGTAATACCCTTTTAAACGCCAAGTTAATGACACCACAAGTAATCATTAATCGTACTTCGAAATTTCTTATCTCTCTGTACAACGTACACGTACATTTATCTACACGTATAAATAATTAAGAATGGCCTTGAAATTATAGCTATTACACCTATCACCCATTAGCATCTGCACAAATATATCTCGACAGTTCTTCTTTCGTTTCTTTCTATTTCGAATCCTATTCCGTCTCCCTATTGCATCAACGAAACTTTTTACTCGTCATGCCGTGTATATCAAAGTTGGAATAACAGGACGGGCGCAGTGCTTATCAAAGCTATTCGTACTAATATTTTATCTGCGCTCCGTTGGCACTTGACAAAAATCAATGTACAATATCGTTTTATTATCGCTCGAAAATTTTCGCTCGAACATCGAAATGTCACAAATGTATTTGCCTCCATCCATCCACGCCTCCATACCACGAATCATGAGTTAAATGGTAACCCGTGTTTTCGTGAAAATCGGCCCGATTATACATCCTCGTTCGGTGTATAAATTGGAAAATTTATCGTTCGCTAAAATAAATATCGAAGCATAGATAAAAATCAAATTGAGTCGTAAACTCGTCGTCAAACTCTGTAACAGAGCTTCTCTTTTGATTGTCAAAAAAAAAAAAAAACAAAAAAATAAATGAAAAAAAAATTACACGTTCCACAATAATGGAAGAACGAAAAGAATTGGGAACAAAGGATTCGTAGGTGTGTTTTAATCTTACGGCGTACGTCGTACGTGCAAATTTGCTACGTCAAGCGATACGAGATTTTCTGAAAAGATAACAGGAACGACGCAACGTACGATTTGGGAGCAAAAAGGCGACGAGCGTGTGTTTGTACGAATACGAATCGGCGATGTAATCGATATTATCGCAAATAACAAAATCACATGAATTGACAAGCCCGGTACAAGCGATTATCGCCGATATTGGTGGCCGTCGATCGAAGAAAAGCAATGTTCTTCCGTCGTATCGGCGCGATTGATCGGGGCAAGGGGGAAAAAAAGGCGACAATTATACTTGGCACGTAACGCTGTAAACACTGTATCTCGGCCACTGCACTCAAATTTAATCGTCGATTCTCGAATATCTTTCAGCGATTTATTCATTGATTTTACGATACGTGATTTGGCTCAAAAAGGTTGGTTCGAAATACACGATTTAACGATGCGTTCTACCTTATTTCTTCGAGAAACTGGAAGAAACTTTCGATTTTTTTTCGTCGCAACGATTTTGCTATCGTCTGCACTTTAAGCGCTTTTAGCTGTTCGTACAGAGAAGAGAAATATACACTGGAACGATCTTTCGATTTCCGTTTTCACGATTCGAAAAGATCGAAAATGTTACGTTGGAAAAAAAGATACAAGTTGTGAGACACTCGAGTGGAACGATAAGTAATATTCGAGTACCCTGACGAATCGTGATCAGAACAATAAAAATCGCGAAACAACACGAGTATCGATTAACCTTTTAACAAAAAACAATCTATTAAAGTCTCGCGAAAATTTCGCACGATGCGCTCTAATTAATTTCACTTATCCCCAGATAATGAACATATTTACAAACACGAGTAAAGAAACGGATATAACCGTTCCCCTTATTAAACATGGTATCACGAAGCGTGGCTAAATTACTTAGGAATATTTCATCCTCCGTGATACACAAAAACTGGAAAAACCCGGGTAATCCTTCATCGTCGAAGCTCGACCAAAGCTAAACCAAGTCTACGGCGTACGTGACGCGCATTTTCCTCGTTTCTCTTCCTTCCTCCTCGTTTCCAAAGAGCGCGAAAAGATCGAAGGCGAAGAAAGATTTCGCGAGAAGAGGCGGTTGGAAAGGAGAGAGAAATGGCGCGAGAATCCCCGCTCGATATTGTGACCGACTCACCACGTTTCAGCTTCTCCAACGGCTCGTGCAACTGATGGTTCGAATTGTGCAGCATGGAGGCGTCGTGGTGCGAGTTGCCGTGTAGATCGTGGTGGTGCATCGCTCCTTGAAGATGATCGCCGTGGAGGCCTGCCATGGAAGCGGCAGCTGCCGAGTGCTGGTGATGCTGGACCGACAGGCCGGCCGTCGATCCCGTGACCAGATCCTGAAGGCATAGATCCGTGTTCCCGCCGCCTCCTCCTCCGCCGCCGGCTAGCTCGAGGCTCCCCCCGCCCCCGCTGCCCCTTTCCATACTGTAGAAGGTTAACGTCGTGTTGACTGATCTGTACAACGCGAGCCAAGATCAACGTGTGCCCCCCACCGTCGCGAGGACGTTTGCCGCGGTGGATCAAACCGATCCAGGGACGTCTCGTCTCTGTCCTCGATCCTCGTCTCAGGAACGCATCGAACGTTCCCCCAAGCCAATTGTCTGCAGGAGCGCCGGTGACAATGTCGCAAGCCTTTATCGCGGCGACGGCCGTCGGCTCGAGGCGAAATCCAACAATTCGATGTTCTTCCTCTTCCTCTTCCTCCCGTCCTTCTTCTCTTCGAGACGAGTGGCGAACGTCAGAGGTGGCGAATCTCTCGATCGTTGGACGATTGCACTCGACGATCCCCGGTTTTGACGAGGTTAGTCATATGGGTTAGTCAATCGGAGGATAGTTTTTTAGTCGGTGATCGAACAACGGGTTGGTCGCGTCGTCCCGTCGGATCGGGTCGTTGCGACTTCGCGGAAAGCACAGGAGCTCGTTGATGGCCGCGCGACGTTGACGGTCGAGGATGATTGATACTTCCATAGAATCGGTTGGGCAAGGTTGAGTTTGCTTGCGTCGTGATCGCACGTATATGCCCCGGATAGAACCGGACTGATTAATCGGGGACAAACGAGGCGACGTATACACGTTACGTAAGGATCGAGATGATAATAGTGGGAGATTTGGAGTGGAAAGTGGGTTAAATGGATCGCACTTGTGGTCGTCGATGTCGAAGCCGCGCACACCGCGATTAAATCCCCTTTGACAGGCGTCGAATTGCTCCGCGCACGTATCTACCGCACATCCTACCGCGAATCCTCGCGCGGATCTCTCCTCTCTCTCTTCTAGGATCGAGAGGAATCCAAGAATGTTGTCAGGTACGAAAGACGAAGTCTTTCTCTATCGACGTTTCCTCGAAACCGACTCTCACTTGACATCGAATCCCTTCACTGCACTGTTCCCAGCCTCGTCTTCGAACTTCGATCACAAGCTATACGTATACGTATATATATATATCCAGGCGTGGACAGACATCACAGAACCGCGACACCTTCGTATACACGTATATGTACCGTTGCTATACACTGGACTTGGGCGGATCGGATCGTTGACCACGAGCCACACCGGGGGCAACACCAACGATTTCCATGGACTCGTGGTTCGCGCGAAATGCGTGGTTCACGAGTTGGCCGAGGGCGAAAATTCGGCGCGAGGACAGCGGCGTGACATCACGAGGACGGACGATCGGAAACCCCGTGGAAACGTGGCGCGCCGGCTACGCTCCGTTAGTCCCGCTGCTCTTCTCACCTTAACGTGGCCACGCGTTAAGGAACGACAGACAGACAGCGTGGATGGAGAGTGTGTGCGTGTGTGTCCGCGTGTGTGTGCGAGAGAGAGAGAGAAAGAGAGAGAGAGAGAGAGAGAAAGAGAGGGAGAGACAGAGGAAGCGTAAGAAAGCGCGAACTGTGCTGCAGGTCGCGGTAGTGTAGCCGGTTTTCGTAGTAGATGGAACGTGTAGTGGCCGCGCGTCGGTAGTAGGTGGGTCCGCCAGGCTTAGCCGGTTGAGCCTTTCGGACTGCCTGCCGGCTTAAGTCTCTAAGTCGGTAAGCCGAGCGGATCTAGTGGTCTTGGCTGGTGCACTGGCTGCCTGCTAGCCTGTCTGCCTTCCTTGCTTGCCGGGCGGCTTGCCTGACTGTCTGACTGCGCCTCGCCCTGGCTCGCTTGCTCTTACTCCCCTCCAACTCGTACTCCTTCTCTCTTCAGCTCTCCCACTCCGCTCTCGTTATCTCCCTCGAAATGTCCGTCTCCCTCGCACCACTCGTCCTGATCTCTCCTGTCTTCGTGCCCCGTTTCATCCCTTTGGCTACCGGCTACCCGCCATCCTTCTTCCTCGTCCTGTCCTATCCCCCACTTTCGTCTCCTCGTTTTCGTCCCCTCTCGCTTCCGCCACGCCGTCGTTCTCCCTGTATTTCTCTCTCTCTCTCTCTCCCTCTCTCGCCTCGTTACACGATCTCTCACGCCTGTATCTGTCACCTCGTCTCCCCGACACCCCTCGATTGGCCGACCCTGGCCGTCTCTCTCTCTCTCTCTCTCTCTCTCTCTCTCTCTCTCTCTCTCTCTCTCTCTCTCTCTCTCTCTCTCTCGCTTTACCCCTACTATACGCTATCGCTCGACACTCTCCGTCCCGTTCCCTCGAAGCCGCGATCTCTCACGCCTGTTCCTCTCTTTTCCGTACCAGTCGTGTTCGAAACAGTCACCGCTTCGCCTATGTTCGGTATCGTGGACGCACCTCTCTTCGTCTACCCCCACTCTCCCGACCGACGCCCCTCCAGCGGTGTCCACGGTCGCCCCTCCTACGTGCACACTCCGATCTTGGCTCTCTCCCTCGATCGAGCACGCACACACCACGCACACCCACCCCCTTGTTCTTCCTTTTTCCTATTTCCCTCTTCTCCACGAGTCTCCACGGCCCGTACACTATCTTCTGATTATCGTTTGTCTCTTTCCGTTGACGTTTGTCGCCTTGACGATTGTCATGCGCTGCTTTTTAATCCTTGCCGACATTCCATTCTTGATTTTCTTTTCGGCGAATATTTGAAAAAGTCGAGCGTGTGTACGATGTAATTTTTTTAATTTTTTTGGTTTTCCTTTTCTTTTCTTTCCTTCTTTTTTCTTCGAAGATTTTTCGAGATTTCGCTCGATGGATAACGCTTTTTGATTCGTCGCCATCTTGCAACGCGATGTCGAAGATATATGTATTACGTGGAAAAATCTTTTCCCGTGTTACCGAGATTCGAGTCGAGCGTATGCAGTTATCGCTAGTCTTATCTCTGTCGAAGCAAATATCTATCTTCATAGACTTAGACGGCCTCTGTGCTGGGTGTTTCCGAGTGAAGAGGTGTGTCGTGTATCGGATACGAATTTGATTCGAACGATTCTTCGGATTGTGTTGAGCGTGAATGAGAAGAATCGGAGAATTTTTAGAGAAGGTTTATAAATGGATAATAGAAAGAGAATTTATAATTATTTTTTCATTAATATTTCTTCTTCAATCATTGCATTTTGCGTCGTAGTTACGTAGCTAAGTATCTAAATTTTTTTCTTTTCCATTTATCAAAGCTTTTTTTAGTACAGATTGAATAATGATTATCTTTCAAATTCATTCGTATGATCAAAATCTTCACGTTTGCAATAGTCTAGAATCTAATCAGATTAAAAAAAAATTCCAAGAATGAAATACATCGTTCAATTCGGCCATTTCAAAACGATATTTTATCTTATATATTCGTCTTATCATTTCGACGAGAACGTGTGACTATGCTATTTGGTTGTAAAAGTAACTTAAGCCTTTGATCAAATTAATTAATCAATTAATTATTATTTACATCTGTTCCAATAAATTAATTATTTAACAAGGATACTAATCGATATTATATATAGATAAAATAATTTGATGATCAAAACGAAAATCAAAATGAAGTTTTATGTATTCTTTATTAACAATAATATAGAGTAGAATTTTGAACCAACATTTTATTAAAACTTTCTAATTTTCACAAATGATATAACGAAATCTATTATTATAAAATCAGCCATACGAAAAATTTCCCTTAAGACTCGAGAAACAACAATAGTTGCACCCTTAACGCAATATATAGATTCAAGAAACAACCCTCTAAAGTTAAACCCTCAAAGCGATCCTCCATAAGTAACAGCCTAAGAATAAACCATGGAGCCTCGATACCCCGATCTCATCAAACATCCCCCCAAATCCCTGCAAAAAAAACAACGAGTCATCGGCGAGAGCGAAACGGCGAGAGAAGAGAGTTGGCCGCGGATCGATGATGAAGGCGACGAGGAAGGAAGGGAATCCGCCTCGGCGAAGATCGCGAAGGGCAACGAGGAAAGGAAAGATGAACGCGGCGAATGACAAAGCGGATGATTTGGCGGTCGAAAAAGGGAGAAAGTCTCCGCGACGAGGTTCGAAGTTGAGTTGCGAGGGCGAGGGGGAGAAGAAGAAGAAGGAGAAGGAGGAGGAGGAGGAGGAGGAGGAGGAGAAGCGGGCCGCCGTCGGTCCGTACGAGGACGAGACGCGGAAAACGAGGAGGAGAGCGGTCCGCGGGGGAGGCTGGTGTAGCAGCGGCAGTACATACGTCAAGGTAGGAACAGAGACCGCCATCCCCGGGATCCCCTAACGCCTCGGGAAAAGTAGAGGAGACAAATGACAAGGTGGCCACGCCTACCGCGTCGTGGCGTGGGCGTAGATCGGCGTTGTGTGCGTGTGACTTGGACGGGACGGAGTGGGAGAGGCGATGCCGCTGGTGGGATTCGTGATATCCGAGGGAGGCCGAGGGGTATACGTGCAGGGTGTTTCCTGATTTTTGAAGCGGCCGACCGAGTTATGGACGTCCCCGGCCGAGGCAAATTAATGGTCGATGACTATTAAGAATCCGCGACCGCTGAACGTGGCCAACCACTGGCCCACCAATTCTCCTGTCCCCTTGGAATTGATTAGCATCGATGATACGAGCATTACGGGTGTAAATGTTTGAGATGATTTGGATCGGGCGATCGAATAAGAAACTATTTTTATTTTGAGTTTTTTACTTTTGATGTGTGCGTATGACTTGACGAGTAATGGTAATGAGTATAGTATAATGAATAGTAACTTGGAGTAGTAGTAAATTAGAGTACGGTAATGGCGAGTGAAATGAAATGAGTAGAACAAGGTATATATAAGAAATGAGTAATTAATAATAAAGACGAAGTAACGAATGGAATAATAATGGAGTGGAGTAGAGAGTGATGATTGGAGAACAATAACGACAAGGGACACGGTTACAGTAGGATGAAAATTCTGAAGATTGATTCGATTTCGATAACAGAAATTAACGACGTGGCAAATGGTTGACGCGCACATTCGAGTTCTGGAGTTGACTTCTGGTCGCTTGTGCGGGTGGGAGATGACACGCAAGGAGGGGGGGAATATATGAATATGTACAATATTCCTATTTATTGTAATGCGGTAGCAATTGAAGGATTATAGATTATCTGCGGATGCAGCCGATCGACAAGCCGGGCTTTGCGGCTGACCCGAACATATAACTACCACGCACGGTCAACGACTATTCATAGTTGTTTCCACTGTGATATATGATGAAAGGTATAATTCGATTCGCAGTACAATTAAATCGTGCGATTAATCGGATTAATTATAGGGGAAATTTTAAAATGAAAATCATACGATCATTCATCGTTTATAGTTTTCATCTCGTGAAATTTGTATTTATCTGTTTAATCATGAAAATTCTAATTAATAACGCGCCTCTCTTTCTTTCTTATTTATACTTGTCATTTGCTTCGTATCGGTGGAACGATACCTATAAACTCGGTTATTGCCGGGATGCTATAAAAGGATAAGATAGACATTTATCAGCTACGAATGGCTCGTTTAACAGGGCGATTTGGATATACGTTTAACTGTCTGACTGACGTTCAATCTTATTCAATTTAAATGTTAAATTATATATCGCCAAATGATTGATCGTTAAAAAATATATTGTGAAATATATAAATAATTAAGCATTCCAAGCTACTTCTTGAAGAAATATTAAAGCTTCGCGAAGATGAATTTTCTTCCAAAAAATCTTCTTCTAAAATTTTTATTGATCTTTTAAATATTCATTATATGGTAATTATTGGTTAAATTTTTATATATTACATATATATATATATATATGTATATACATATATTGCTGAATAAATTTCACAAGTAGGAAAAAGATGCACATCGAAAATATCTATTAAGAACACGTACGAACGCTGAAAATAAATTCAATTTGGTTGATCTCTCGTAATACGGCAACAAGCACCTAAGCAAGGAGAACAGTGTTATAAAAGTAAGCTGTAAGAAGACAAATCGTAGGATTCGAACAGCATAAATCTCACGTCTCTCGTCATGAACCTCTCTCGCGAAGTCTTAACATCGGCGAACTGGATTATAGGAAGCGCGAGATTTCCCGGCCATCCAAGGCCTTTATGAAACTTTCTTTCCCAATCATTTTCACAAACTTCGAACTCACCCAGTAATTAACATAAGAATTAAATTAAAAATTTTTTTTTTCACAATTTCTAAACATTTATAATCGACGAACAAATAAAATTGCGTAACGCGTCGAGCAAACGAAGAAGTTGAAGATCATTCTCTTTTTCGAAAGAAAAAAAAAAAAAAAAAAAAAGATTTATACATAGAAGAATACAAAAATATTCGAATCGTGTACAACAGATAATTTCTTACTCTCAAAGAGACTTCATTTCAATTTCTTTTTTTTCCCCATTCTACTGAATGAAATAAATTCAAAGCGAATAGATATTTATCTTGACATTGAGTTATTTCTGTAAAAGAAAAAAAAAAGAAAGAAAAAAAAAAAAAAGAAAAAAATAATTACTATCACGAATATATCATAATACAACTTTATCGCCTCGACGATGAAATGATTTTAACGACGATAAGACGATAAACTCATGATCCGAATATATAACGAAACTGAAAACTCATCGTTCCCCCTCCGTTTTGCTATCCGAAAATTCCTTTGAAGATCTAATAACCCAGTTTCCATGATGGAAAATAGAACTATCTAGCGTTCTATTTAACATAACGTCTAGATAAACAGTTTGGATGGTCGGTACGCGTACCATAAAGGATCTATCGATACGAGGCTATTTCTATGGCCGCGGCAGATCAATTGCCGCCGACACGAGTCGGCCGTGTTTTATTAGCGATAGTAAAGCGTCCGTAAGGCAAACAATCGATATTTCGC